TCTCCTCCTCCTCCTTCTCCTCCTCCTCCTCCTCCTCCTGCCTCCTACTCCTCCTCCATGACCGTCTTCATTCGATCTCCATCATCTTCTCCGCTCCTCCTCTTCCCCCTCCTCTCCTCCTCCTCTCCTCCTCTTTCTCCTCCTCCTCCCTCTACTCCATTACTTTCTCCCCTCTTCCTCCTCCTCCTCCTTCTCCTCCTCCTCCTTCTCCTCCTGCCCCCTACTTCTCCTCCATGACCGTCTTCATTTGATCTCCATCACCTTCTCCGCTCCTCCTCCCTCCCTCCTCTTCTCCTTTTCCCCCTCCTCCCTCCTCCTCTATGACCGTCTTCATTCGATCTCCATCACCTTCTCCGCTTCTCCTCCTTTCACTCCTCCTCTCTTCCTCCTCCTCTTCCTCCCCTCCTCCTACTCTCCCTACTCCATCACCTTCTCCCCTCCTCCTTCTCCTCCTCCTCCTCCTCCTCCTCCTCCTCCTCCTGCCCCCTACTCCTCCTCCATGTCCGTCTTTATTCGATTTCCATCTCAGGGGCAGGTACGTTTATGTAAACACAGGGTACATATATGCTGAGAAGATACAGGTCTGGTACACTTGTGTATATACATATACGTACCTCGGGTACATATCTGTAGTACCTGATACGACAACGACCCCTTCAGCATTACTAATATTCACACCTAATATTCGTGTAACACCGTGCCAGTCACTGTTGATTAGATCTCTGCAGTTATCTTTCATGTTTACAGTGCAGTTTTTGTTATTTAGGCCATGTTGATTGCAACGGCTTAAACTCTGTAGAGGGATTAATTAACCCATTATTTTTCATCATTATTGTTATTAATATTATTATTATTATCATTATCATTAACATCATCAACATCGTTATCATCATCATCATCATCATCATCATCAATCATCACCATCATTATTATTATATAGGCATCATTATCATATATTAGGCAAATTGACCTACAAATTTGGTAAAATCCTTGCAGGCGATCATGGTGAGAATGGCGGTCCAGGTTTTGACGGGCTGCCCGGCCGCCCCGGTGATAAGGGAGATGCGGGCCTACCCGGCCTTGATGGACCTGTGGGAGAGAAGGGTTACCCTGGCCGCGGTGGACCATCGGGCCGTGACGGACTACCCGGGTTGCCAGGACTGCCAGGTTTGTGATGTTTGAATCTAATCGTCCGCGCGACGACTGCGCTGTATAGTCGAGGGAAATCGAGTTCGTTATCGCATAAATATTCTAGTTTTAATGATTGCAATTCGCGATCCGAGCTAAAATAAAATAACAATAAAGCTTATGACCTACAGCTTATGCGGTAGTAATTTGTGCACTGTATGTGTAGGAGCAAAGGGTAGCCCAGGACTGAGTGGACGTCTGGGTGAACCAGGAACACCAGGTCGTGATGGTTTGCCAGGATTCCCAGGCGAAAAGGGAGGCAGAGGAATGGGCGGGTTGGATGGCCTCCCAGGCCTCAGCGGACCCAAAGGTTAGTGAGTTATTCGCCTTTCGTGAGCTAGTTGGTGCTTTCTACGGCTAGTTTATTTTGGTACCTCTGTGGTCTCTATATATTTGTGTTTTTGTATACTGTTTATCATGAACATCAATGAAGTATTGAAATATGTTGTATAGGTAAATATTATAATGTAAAAACACAAATATATTGCGATTGTAAACCATGCAGTGTGAACGTGCAGTGGCATGCAAGCAAGCGCCCACAGCCAATTGTCTGTGGTACTTTTATTATCGAGCTTGATATGACATAGTAAAATAGTAATCGCGGCAAACGAATATAAACCTGTGTAATTTCGCACACATTTCATTTTAACGCGCAATGTTTAAAGAAAAGCTTCTAACGTGAATTCATGGTTACAGGTAGCAGCGGAGATCCAGGTATTTCCGGTCGCGATGGTGTTAAAGGTGAACCAGGATCCGTTGCACGAGAGGGAGAACCTGGAGAGAATGGCTTCCCAGGAGCCCCGGGTAGAGCAGGAGCACCGGGACTGCCAGGTAAGTAAGCAGAGAAAAATCCTTTTCGTTTGATGTCAGGAGACAGCACGTCGTATATCTAGCATTGCGGTAAATATAAGTAAGAGTGAAAGCCATTCGCTTCTGCGTACGATTGAGGCGGCTAAACCTATTGATATCTTCAACTTGTTTTCTTCAGGACTTGACGGACAGCCAGGTGGTAAGGGAGACAGAGGCGAGCCAGGCTTTGGACCAGAGGGACCTAGCGGAGAATCAGGCAGACCCGGACAGGATGGGCTACCCGGCCTGCCAGGTCTTCCCGGCATGAAGGGAGTCGCAGGCATGCCTGGGTTCCCGGGCACGTCCGGATTAAAGGTTAGTAAATGATGCAGACAATCTGACGTGTGGATGAATGCCAATAATCGGCGAAGCTATAGTCATACATTCATCGATGAATGTTATCAATGACTATTGTGAATTTCCAAACCTCCCGTTATGTATCGACTGTAGTTAATACCCAGAGTTATATATATATATATATATATATAATATATATTTTATCATATTTGCAACGCCTTTCGGTTGGCGTGAAATCCAATGAGGTGACGATGTACTAACGTAATAGACGCTGCAGGAATGTCGAATCTCTCTCTCCTCCCTCCCCTTCCCCACCACACGTCGCTGGATCGTCGCCAGGTATACGACGCGCGTGGCGACCGAGGAAAGTTGTCACCGCACTCGTTACACTTTCAGGGTGATGTCGGACCCAGCGGACCGGCCGGACTGCCCGGAAGAGACGGATTTCCCGGAGCGAAGGGCGCTCGCGGTAACGACGGCTATCCGGGTATCGACGGCATGAAGGGAGACAGCGGCTTGGCGGGACTACCGGGATTACGGGGACCGGAAGGACCGAGTGGAAATCCGGGACTGCCAGGTCGCGACGGTGCGCCCGGAAACTGGGGACAGAAGGGAGAGGGAGGCATACCCGGTGGCCCAGGTATGTCAGATTAGGCCACCCACCATTGCGCACGCCTGCACCAACCTGTACGCACAACAATCTCGGCACGATCGCGTTCACACATCTATTTTATTTTAAATATAATTATTGTAATAATTATATTTAACCAATACGTCTATTTCGGCGTGGGGCGTGGGGAGGGGGAGGGGTTAATAATAATGCTCATCGCTATGGTGATTCCATCGAGCGACAGCCGCGCTCGCTCGCGTCATGCACTTCACCTCTAACGCGCAGCCTTCTCTCTCTGGTCCCAGGATCCGACGGTCTTCCCGGTCTGGACGGCGAACCAGGACTTCCGGGAGATTACGGTGAACCGGGAGAGTCGGGACTTCCGGGCCGTGAAGGCCTGCCAGGTCTGGCGGGATTGAAGGGCGACTCAGGACGCGACGGTCTTCCAGGAAGAGACGGCGAGCCAGGAAGACGCGGAGATTCAGGTGAGAAGCAGACGACATCTCTGCATACACAGCAGATGACAGACATCTGTGTACGCAGCAGATGACATCTGTGTACACGCAGCAGATGGCATCTCTGTACACATCACATGACATCTCTGTACACAGCAGATGACATCTCTGTACACAGCAGATGGCATCTCTGTACACAGCAGATGACAACTCTGTACACAGCAGACGACATCTCTGTACACAGCAGACGACATCTCTGTACACACAGCAGACGACATCTCTGTACACAGCAGATGACATCTCTGTACACACAGCAGACGACAACTCTGCACACAGCAACGTAGCACGTTTGTCACATAATATCAAGAGCTAATAAATATTTATTAGCTCTTGATAATATCAACGGACTTGCACGATGTCACATTTTTGTAGAGACGTAAATTGATGCGATGTGACTTAATCGGTGGCCGCTATCGAATCTGGTTATCAGGGAATGCTCACACCCTGCTATTGCTGCATGAAAATATCTATGGTCTCCTCGTAATATATCGCTCACTGTTATCGATTGTAGGAATCGACGGCTTCCCTGGTGTCAAGGGTGAAGCAGGTCTTCCGGGACTGGGTGTGGCGGGAGATAAGGGTGATGCGGGCCGTCCCGGTCGGGATGGTGTACCAGGAAGGCCAGGAGCTAAGGGAGATGACGGACAGGATGGTCTTCCCGGATTGCCAGGTCTACCAGGCGCAGATGGGCTTTCCGGCAGAGAAGGCAGAAAGGTGAGTCGCTGCTAAACAAAGATAGAAATTGGAGTAAATTTGCTAATAAAGTAAAATTGGCAATCGAACACTCGAGCCGCAAACGCTAGTCGAATTTCGAAACTAACGTTTAATTGGGCTCAAAATATGTTCATCGGATTTCGCGATGACGTAAGCGATATTTTATTAGCAACTATAACAGAGACTAAGACAACCATAGATGGGGCGTCGAAACCGCTGCTAACGGGTTACATGAAACGCATTTATCATTATCTATATCATTATCTCTATATAGTCTGACTATCGTATGTTTCGTGACGCTAACCTCGCTGCGTGATGTGATAGGGAGACTCGGGACTGCCCGGACCATCAGGCTTCCCAGGACAAGACGGAGAGCCAGGCACCTCAGGACGTGACGGTCTACCCGGTCTACCAGGCGTTAAGGGAGATAGAGGTTACAATGGCCGCGACGGAGAACAGGGCGACTGTGGACCAGGAGGTAAATTGTGATCATGCGGTACTACGCCTGTTATTTCACGCTCGCTATCAACACTACCCTTAATGTAGTGGTTAAAGGAGAGATGGAATATAAGGATTGGGTGACATGCCTCGCATTCATCAATGTATCCCACTTGTGTCATTTTCCTCTTTGTGTGATTTTTTCTCGCGATGTTCCGTATATAATTGATAGACTGAATTTTCCACACACTAGAGCGAATCGTTTACTCATTTGCGTGTATTTCACTTATCTCTCGCCCCTCTCTCTCGCACTCTCTCTCTCTCTCTCTCTCTCTCTCTCTCTCTCTGTCTTACTCATTCTCACTTACTCTCTAAATCGTTTTCCTCTCTCAATAATAGGTCAAGATGGGCTAAATGGACTCGATGGACAAGATGGAGAGCGCGGTGACTCGGGTCGTAGCGGACTGCCAGGCAGAGATGGTGCTAAGGGTGATCGTGGCAGCGATGGTCTTCCAGGCTTGCCGGGAGTAAAGGGTGAGTCTGATGGTCATCTAAATCTACCTAGTAACCCTACACGAATCATAACGTAACATGTGCTGTCTAATGTAACATGTGCGGTGTTAATGTAACACGTGCGGTGTCTCTTTAAGGTAAGTCTGTTATGAAATACGACTAATAAGATCTTGTGATAAAGCCTCTATTGGCCAATTTTCGGATCCTCAAGAGCTATATAGTCGTTGTTGATGTATACCTTGACGTTTATTGATTTGTGCTTTTACAACATTTTGCTTTTGATTTGTTTCTTGATCAACGTTTCTTGATCAACATTCCTTGATCAACGTTTCTTGATCAACATCAACGTTTCTTGATTTGTGTTTTTTCAAACATATACAAGCTGAACCGTGATTATGATCCTGTATAATACTCACGTTACGTATTTTCTTGTAAATAGGTGATTTCGGATTGAGAGGACTCAAGGGAGAACCGGCACCAGGACCTCAGTGTAAGTTTATTATAGATCTTTCGCTAACACAAAATCAATGTCACTACAATAAATAATTTCTCCCAAAAGCAATGCTGAAGTGAATACGATTTGCTTATCCATTCCCGCTACTGCTCATACCTCTGTCGCATTTTAATCGAACGTTTTCTGCATCATTTGTTTATAAATGCTATAAAATGTTGTAAGAATGTGATAGATAATTATTGAAATCAATTAAATCGTTTCAATCTCTGCGCAAACAGTTGACAAGGGTGCGAAGGGCGATTCAGGATATCCGGGTCTCGATGGACCTAAGGGAGAATCTGGTCGTGACGGATCCCCAGGATTCCCAGGATTGGCTGGAGGGAAGGGCGATTCAGGATTGCCAGGAGTGGATGGACTTCCAGGCCCACGTGGTCTTCCTGGTCTAGATGGACCACCAGGAGAACAAGGCTTGCCAGGTAAGGGTGTTAGCGTCACAGAGACATCTATTTAAGGCTTTGATTGCCCAGTCTCTTATTATCCGACTATGAACCATCGATAGGTTTTAACGCGACTTTGAACCGGAGAAGCAGTGTTTTGTGCTGTTGTATTGAAAGCCTGTATTACTAAAATGATAACCTATAATAAATTCCCTCTGATTTTTACATGCTTAATTAGTATGTTATAGAAATAGTGGCATAGTCACACACAGACACACACACACACACACACACACACACACACACACACACACACACACACACACACACACACACACACACACACACACGACACACACGCACACGCACACGCACACACACACACACACACACACACACACACACGCACACACGCACATAAATATATGTGGACACATTTATTAATGCATTAACTTGTGTCGCATTGTACAGGTACCCGTGGACCCTTGGGAGAGCCGGGCCGAGCAGGTCGACCAGGAAACGTGATTCCCACAGGCTTCATGCTTGTTCGACACAGTCAGACCACTTCGACGCCCATCTGCCCACAAAACATGGTCAAGCTGTGGGAGGGATACAGCTTGCTCTACATCGAAGGCAACGAGAAGGCGCATCATCAGGATCTTGGTGAGTTTGCATGTAGCGTGTGGTCCGATGGAGGAAGAGGAATATCCGCGAAGGAAAACCTGCTCAGTTAAAAACACCTAAACTTTGCGTTGCGCACATGTGCACGCACAGACGCACACGTGCACGTGCATATATATGTACACACGCATAATCACACGCGCACGCATAGACGCACGCGGACGTATTTCTTTAAAATGGTCAACGTATATAATGTGCGTAGGCATTGCCGATGGACTCACGTACAGGAGATCATGTTGGATTTTCTGATTACTATTAGATTATCATTGCGTATTTACATTTTTCAGGTTATGCTGGTTCTTGTCTGCAAAGGTTCAGCACTATGCCATTCGTCTTCTGCAATTTTAACAGCGTCTGCAACTATGCATCGAGAAACGACAAATCCTACTGGCTGTCCACTAACCAGCCTATTCCTATGATGCCGGTCATGGAGACGGCGATTCAGCCATACATCAGGTATGTGAAAGACTGCGAGAGTCTGTATACACCCTGGAATAGCTGTGTTAGCTTCACCTGCTTTGACTGAAAATATTGTTGCTTCAGCAACGAATGATGCGCCGCAAGAAATAAACCGGAAGAGGTTACTGCATTTAAAATGCGCGCTGGTCATGTTTACATAACGAATATATAGACACAGAAGAAAAATACCGTAACAATAAATTAATTAATTAATAATTTTGGTATTCTTCACGAATGAAATGCGAGCGTGATGCCTGACACCTGTGTTCTTACGTTTCAGTCGCTGCACCGTGTGCGAGTCTCAGGCTAACACAATTGCCGTGCACAGCCAGTCGATGATGATCCCAGACTGCCCAGGAGGATGGCAAGGTCTTTGGATTGGTTACAGTTTCGCCATGGTTAGTTCACCTTTGCAAGAAAATATATAGATAGTCGGCAGAGACATCGTTCGTGTTTGGACGCTCTGCATTAGGAGACTGTGGGTGTGTAATGGGCACTCGGCGTTATTTTGCATGGGTTAGAGAGATTGGCACGGGGCGGTTGTTCGAGGTTAATTTTATCACGAGCACCACGTTTCTGCAATTTTTGTCATAATTACGTTCAATTCTGTATAATTTGTATACGCACAGCAAAACGCATTATTGATAGACACACATATTAAAGATGCCTCTAGACGTCAGCGGCGATATTGTCTCTTTCATAGTACTGACTTGTGTTCTTCCTTTCTCTCATTTCCTTTAGCACACTGCTGCGGGAGGCGAGGGAGGTGGCCAGTCCCTGTCCAGCCCAGGTAGTTGCCTGGAAGATTTCCGCTCTACTCCATTCATCGAGTGCAACGGCGCTCGCGGTAGTTGCCACTATTTCGCGAATAAACTTAGCTTTTGGTTGACGACCGTGGGCGAGGACGATCAGTTCTCTATACCGCAGTCGCAGACGCTGAAGGCAGGTAGCCTACGACAGCGGGTGAGTCGATGCCAGGTCTGCATGAAGATCGTGCGCTAGTCACGTGGTGACACGACGGTCGATATGTAAAATAGCTGTTACACCAAAGACTGAAGACAGTGTCATCGATAAAAGGCCTATAAACGTGTATAATATCATAGGTGTATTGCATGCCAGAAAACGTTGTTTTAACTGCAATGCGATGGAGTTTTTATGTCCATTATCAAAAGCTTGTTATACCTAGAGAAGATCGTGAATTCAATGGTGCTATATTTTAGGCATTTATACATGTACCTGTTGTTTTTTACATTGTAGATGCTTGCAGGCTTCAAACAAATTATGTGTAATTTTAAGCTGAATATATTGCGATAATGAGCTCGTTTGTGTCGTAGCATGAAAGCAGTCAAACGTTTTTTTGGTCATGTTAACGAAAGAAGATACTAGCTAGTCAAACTAATCAAAACGGTACTTCTACGTAAATCGGTATTAGTGTGTGTCCAGGTTGCGAGTTAGTCAACTATTAGATAATGCTTTCGTAAGTCATATTTCATGTTGTTTTACAACATTTGCATTTATTTTTCGTCTTCTCGGCCATGATTTAAAGTTGTGGGGCATTCGGAATGAACTAAAGGCCACAGAGAATTGGTGAGCGTGTGTTGCCTAGCATGCGAGCGCTCAGTCTCACGTAAATAATATAGTCAGTCCTTGAAGACATCCAGCAAGCACTGAGACCTACAACCAGCTGAATTAGTGCTACGTCTCATTTGCCCTTGAGTTCTATCAAACTCTGTTGCCTGATATAACGGTCGATCGTTTATATCACATTACTTGTTTTATATATATATGTAAAGGGTATTAATAGACTTGAAGACTTAAAGTGACATTTAGGGGGTGACTGGGCACGTCGCAGTCAATTCTAGCAATTCTCGGTCCCGCAAACCGAGTGAGCTCGTACCAAATCGCTATGCATTTCTCTATATATACAGTTGTTAAAATAGTGACTCGAAACATTTTTTTATAAGTGCCAGTCTTTGCATTTAAGAGTGAACGATGGAGAAGTGCAAGAGCTCATTTAGTTACGACTGAAAACCTCCAGAATTGTCAGGACGTTTACATTATACGCCTGTGCTGAGTACGCGGTGTGAGTGGCAAACCTGCATGTACTTATGTGAAATCTTCGTGCATTTATAGGAAAGACGAGGCCCGGCCATTTTAAATCATCGCGCATTACTAGAAGACGCGTCGACGACTTTCTCCTAGAATTAAATAATTATATATATTTTTAAATTCAAACCAACCTCATTTTCAATCGAATAAAATCAGGGTTGTGCAATGAATGGTTGTGCGTTTATTTTTAGGTTCTAAAATATTGTCGAAACGCTCCTGTTATGGTGGATGCTTTCAAAATTTGACTGACTTACACTCTACAGTCATGCTGGCACGTAATCGCTGGATGTGGGCCAATGCAGCAAGGCATTCGGTGTGTAGCTGCAGTTGGCTACTGTAATCCATCTCGGCATTACGGTATTGTGTCGTTCATTACTCTACGACATAGTTTGAGGTCTTTTTGATTGGTATTGGTCCAACGCAACGCTAGATATAAAGCAAGGAATCATTATTACCGGGAGCACGGTCTACTGCCAGCTAATATGTACAGCTTTGTAAACTACCCACCAGTGAAATAAAATCACTGTTCCCAGAACACGAGACCACCTTTTTCGATTTTATTTCTGTCGTTCCGTTTCCTTTGAGTCTTTCCTAATTATCTCACTTGCTGATTTCTGAGCCGACCGCACAAGGTTCCATGTTAAAAGTGATCTATTAGTGCAAAACAATCACACACAACAAATTCAACCAACTCCAGCGACGTTTTCAGTTAATTTAAGAGAAAAAACAACAACAGTATGATTGAAACCGAAATGCTTCACAAATACACACAGATGCACGCACGCACGAACGTACACACACGCACACGCGAACGCACGAACGTACGTACACACACGTACACGCGAACGCACGAACGTACACACGCACACACACACACACACACGCGAACGTACGCACACGCGCACGTACGCACACGCACACGCACACGCGCACGTACGCACACGCACGTGCACGTAGGCACACGCTCACGCTCACGCGCACGTACGCACACGCTCACGTAGGTGTACGTTCACGCGCACGTATACACACTCATGACTTTCTATGCACAAGACTCCCCCTTTCAGAATTTCTGGATTTACACGATGATATGGATGCTAAAACAACCAAGGTAAAATCGTATGATATGCTTAATGTTAACAATTTATTACTTTGTAACCAATAAGATAGACAAATAATGTTATTCCAATAGAAAACAATCACATGTCTTAACACATTAACTTCATTCCACGTTAGCGGAACGTTCGCTATTTGCAAACCTATATAAGCGCACACAGTAATGTGGCCAATATTTTAAGCACAACGGACAAACATGCGAACATGATATCTGACAAGAAAATGAGCAATTTTTACAGCCGTCTCCTAGAAGGAAATTTTCGTGTTAGAATGTAAGTAGTTCGAACTTCCAATAATACTGAAGACGTGACTTTAAGCCGACAATGCATAAATATATTACAGTTTACTCCATATTACTCCATATAAGTTATTATATTGAATTTATATTTCACTCATACAGAAAGTATCGATATAAGTATAGTTATTATACTAATTGGTCTAAAACACGATGTACCACTTAATTTTAGTTGCCTAACTTTGATGTATTGCTACGCCAGCTACGTGTGCCGTAAATTTTGATTTTCTTAACCAAATCTTATAGAGCACTACCGATGACATCAACAATTTACAAGTAGCAAGAGCACAGCGAGATGAGATGCACATTGCGCATAAACAACACGGCAGTCATTACTGAAAACTGGTGCGACTGGCAATGGGTAATCAAATGTGGTTAAAATTTCAATTATCATTATGCACAGGTACACATGACTGCAGGTAACTACATGTAATTATCATTACATACAGGTACACATGACTGCAGGTAACTACATGTAATTATCAGAACCTACACGGTCACCGGAAGAAACCACTTTACACCACAGTTTGCCAACTGAAAAACAATTGAAACAATTCTAAAAAATTCATCTGTGACACGACGTCGCAAAAAATTACAAATTGCGTGTAATCAAGTAGCTGTATAGCATGCATGCATATATGCATTCTTCATAACACATACTGTACATTATATCTATGACGCTAATCCGTATGATACTATCACTTATGGAACTAAACCTGTGGTTGTAGAATGTACCTAAATAAAAATGTTAAGGACAGATCTAACAGAGGAAAACCCTTCGAAACAGCCGGACACATAAGTAAATCACACTATACTACAGAATTATATTCATAGAGCATACCATTCTCCTAACGTCCCCTAACAGAACCTAATAAATATTTGCACCTAGGAACACTGCCAGTGACCAGATCAACAACCAAGACTCGTGAAAACAGCCCTCTACCCTCACATCACTGCCACGCATTAGTTAAACTAGTCTGCATTAGTGAAACTAAAAGCGATCCCCATAACAGAATCTAAGCGCTCACGCAATCACCCAATGTAGCACCGTGCTAACAACGCCCCCACCCCACCCCGCGTCCCTTCCCCCCTGGCGCGACCGAGGCGTCTGCTCAGAATCCCAGCGGGTGGCCATGCACTAGCTCGCCGGCCTTGATCAGTTCGCTCGAGATCTGCGCCATGCGTCGGAAGTTTCCGGTCTGCTGGCTCGATCGCACGGACGTCAGGTACGCCGCCACCCGGTCGGAAGCCTACAACACAACCGTGATGAGTCGTGATTAAACGCCCACCAACGCGACCTCCACTGCTCTCCGTATTGGTCCGCGATTGGTACCCGATTCCGCTGTGAATACCAGTGCTAGGTAAGCAGCCTGACTAGAGCATTCGCCTCCCTTCATCAAGACCAATGCAGATTATCGCAAACAGTTCATTGCTAACTTTACAGCTTGATAAGATTAGAGAGAATGATTAGATCAGCTCGTCGAACCCACACGGGGTAGTGACAGTGGACCTGCGTCTCATCGAGACAGTGCGGGCCTCTGCTATACACAGGAAGATTACTACGAATAACATCGTGAAGTTAACGCACGATGCGGGTAAGCGTAATAGTAGCATTTCTTTTCAAAATGCTCATCGGCAGGACCCTCCCGACTTTGTCAACATCGATGCCGATCACCATAAATACCTAGGCCCCATCAGGTATAAACATTATGGATGCCGGTGAGTATAAGGGTAGTGACAGCGGACTCATGGAGACAGTCCAGGCCTACACTAGACACAGGAAGATTACTGTCAATAACAACACATGATAAATTCAATTTTGGCGAATGAGCGTTCTGGATTCATGACATCGAGTGATAAGCTCGTCGAAGCTCGGTGATGCGGGTAAGTATGGTAGAAGCGGGCGATGGTTTGTCGGCGGCGGCGACGGCACTCACCTCGCTGCACCAGACGTTGCACATGCGCTCCTCGTACTTGGCCGACGGGTGGTTCTCGTTGAGCGCGCGCGTTGCTCGAGACAGCACGACGATCATCGCGTAGATGTCGATGGCCGCGTTGCCGAGCCTGTGCAGCAGGAACTGCTCCCCTGTCACCGACGAGAGATCGCGAGCGCGGTTAGACACGAGTCGCGGAGGGCTGTACGTGCATCGCAGTGGGATTAGACATGACGGGTGTTTAGACACACGTGCATCACAGGGGGTTTAAACGTGGGTTGCTGCACTTCTGGAACAGCTAAACTGTTAAACACAGACGTATGATGACACAAATTTATGTCTAAACAAAGCTGAATGCTTTAAGATAATCCAGCGTAGGGGTTCTCTCTCGCTTTCAACCTATTTGCTAAACGGCGGGTCTCGCTTACCTATGATGTTCTTTCCATAACGGATCAGCAGGCTCTCCACACTGACACCAAAGTCCTCAGCAGCTATCCTCGTCTGCAACGTGCAAGCACACAAAGAGCGATCAAACAATGCATTCACGTCGTAGTCAACGCTAAAGGCGACACAAAAGTCCAAAACACGAATCTGTTTAATCACTCCTCCTGATGCTAGCCTAGACAAAGACTGCCGTATCGAAACGCTAAAAAGCAGTTCGCGAGTGGCACACAGCGTGGAGCGGTTGTAACCACAATCTTACACTTTTCTACACCCGGATCCCCCGTTCAACGCGACACGACGTGGCAAACCCTCCGTCGCTCCCCTCCTTCGCTCCCCTCCCCCCGTCGCTCCCCTCCTTGGTCGATCCCCACCTCCTCCCCTGCTACGTCGCGAGAAGAAGCCCTTACTCACGAGCGAGGCTGCCGTCAGCAGCTCTGGGTGGACGTGCTCGGCCAGCGACTGCTGGCTGATGCCGACGATGCGCGTGATCTTCTTCGCTCCGGCCTCGAACAGCAGGCCCAGGTTGTTGGCGGGATGGCGCAGCGCTGTCTGCACCTCCTTCAGCGAGGCGCCAGCGTACTGAAGAACACCGGCGAGCGCGAACCAGCATTAGAAACGTCGGAACAGTTCGGCAGTTATAGTTGAAGCCGCGTTTGCGACTTTTTTTCCCATATGCAAAATTACCCCCACACAGATGGATGAAGGTTCTTGATGCAACCAAATTATTCATCCAAATTATACCAAGCACCCGAATTGACTCAATGCTCCTGAATCTCCCACTGACCCAAGTTCCCCCCCCAAGCATCCCAATTCCAGTGTACATGACACCCCGATGCACCTAAATTCCCCCATGCACCCGAATTCCCTCGATTCCCCCCCCCACCTGGGACACACCTGAATTCCGGTAAGCGCGACGAACAGCCGCAGGATGTCGTTTGTTCCCTCGAAGATGCGGAATATGCGCAGGTCGCGTAGCACACGCTCGAGACCCGTGCTGCGCATGAAGCCCATGCCGCCGCAGATCTGTATGGCTTCATCTACGACATTCCACGCCGCCTCCGACCCAAACACCTTCGAGATGGCCGCCTCAATCTGGAAGTCCTTCGAGCCCTGCGGGTGGACGGCACGACGATACGGTGAAACGACAACGTCCGCCGCAACACGACGAGCGCTTTTTTATGTAAACATCGGTTCGCTGCACGTTGCTTGGTTCTTACTCTCGTTATTATTCTGTCAATACTGTTTATATTACATGTCAAATTTAATTTTTGTTTAGATAGTTTAACATTCGTTTTTTACACATTGCGGAGTAAGTGGCACCCGCAAAAAAGAGACGCGCCTTGCGAAAGGAGGAACGTCGGCCTACTCACCCGGTCCATGTTGGCCGAAACCATGTAGGCCATGGACTCTGTGACGTAATGCAGCATGGCCATGCGCGCCAGCTTCTCCTGTATCATGCCATACTCGTGGATTTTCTGCCCAAACTGCTCTCTCTGCGACGCGTGCTCGATCTACAATACACCGCGCTGCCACCGTTAGTAATGACATCAAGAGCTAACAGCTCACGTTATTAGCTGATATACAGGTATATCTACAGCTAAATATGCAGGTATTATTAACTATTGATAACATAGAACTCGTGTGGAAGCCACAGAACAGTTTCTACCACAATTAAAATCGGTGATCAATGCAGTATAAACTTATTGTCTTGTGTACAGGCTGTTTGTCTTCCGCTTTCTGTTTTTTACTCATCATATTGACTTAACGGACAATCGCCATTAACGGACACCCTATCCCCATCGGTCAGTTGAGCCGAGCGGGTTCTGTATATTAGTCGATTGATACGTAACACGATTAAAACAGCTCAGTTTGCTTGAGCCGAGCAGGTTCTGTATATAAACTGATTGATGTATAACACGAGTAACACACGCTCACCGCCTGCTTGATGGCCGCCCTCATCGTGCCGGACAGCGCTGCCGCCATGCCGAAGCGGCCATTGTTGAGGATGTTCATCGCGACCTTGAAGCCGGCGCCGGGTCCGCTGATGACGTTCTCGACGGGGACCTTCACGTCGTCGAAGAACACCTCGGCCGTGTTCGAACAGTTGATGCCCATCTTCTTCTCCGGCGGGCCGCTGCGACGAGAGATGGTTTGGCGTCGGACGGCTACACCACACAGCTCCGTCGCAGAATTCGACCGCCGCATAGAGCAGCCACATGTTCACTCGCAAGCACGCACGTTCATACACGCTCATGCACCCATGCACACACACACATGCTCATACATGCTCACGCACACACACACGCACGCTCACACATGCTCAAGCATTCACACACACACACACATGCTTATACACGCTCATGCACACACGCACGCATGCACACACATACGCACGCTCATACACGCTCATGTACACACGCACGCATGCACACACACATGCACGCTCATACACTCGCACGCATGTTCACGTGCACACACACGCGCACACGTACACATACATATGTTCACATGCAAACGTTCACACACGCACGCACGCACGTTCACACTCAGGCCCACATGCACACATTCACACACAAGCACGCATGCACGCATTCACACACATGCATGCATACATATGTTCACACACGCACGCACGCACGTTCACACACGCACGCACGCACGTTCACACTCAGGCACACATGCACACATTCACACACAAGCACGCATGCACGCATTCACACACATGCATGCATACATATGTTCACACACGCACGCACGCACGTTCACACACGCACGCACGCACGTTCACACTCAGGCACACATGCACACATTCACACACAAGCACGCATGCACGCATTCACACACATGCATGCATACATATGTTCACACACGCACGCACGCACGTTCACACACGCACGCATGCACGTTTACACTCACGCACGCATGCACGTTCACACTCACGCACTCATGCACGCATTGACACACGCACGCATTGACACACGCACGCATGCATGCATTCACACACACACAAGCGAAGTTTCAAATACTCAAAGTAATACACGAACGATTGTTGTGCACATATAAATATGCTAGAATAATTTGACTGCAAATTAAGACATAGCATTTCAAAATTCCGCAAACATCACAAAGGAGATGTCGCCTCACTACGCGTTTGCTTAGCTCTCGTACAAGTGAGCCTTACCTTGTTACACCTGTGAATGCACGCTCTACGATGAAGGCTGTCACCTGGTTTTGTTCGATTCCATTCTTGTCCTTCACCGGCACCTGAAACACCGGCGATGAGTCGTATGGCGAATCTTATATCAAGGCGCTAAATGCTAAGCAATTACTAACAAATACTAACAAGCTTAAAATTTAAATACCAACACCACCACTGCCACTACCAATTCCACTGTCGCCACTAATACTACTATTACTTGTGAATGTGTCTTAGAGTCATCAAAGTATCCGACACCGCTTTCAAAGGAGGACGGTGAAAGAACAGCATGGAACACACCTGCGCGAACACTGTGAACAAATCAGCGACGCCGCCATTACTGATCCAAATCTTGTTGGCGTTCAGGATATAGTGCTTGCCATCGGGAGAGAGAACGGCCTTCGATCGGATCGACTGGAATAAGCAAAATTTGCACAAAATTTGTTACAGTCGGCGTGCGATACGCGAGTAAAACCCTCACAATTATGAGAGCAGTGATTAAAGGTAAGTTATTGCAAATATGGCACTGCAAGGAACCTTTTCTAATGGGCAAGACAACAACCAGGACGACGACTGTAATTTTCTGGACAGTACATGTCAATACTAAATCAATATCATATAATACCCCTGCATCTGAGCCACTGGAGGGCTCTGTCAGGCAAAAGGCTGCAATCTTCTCTCCTGTGGCAAGGGTAGGCAGGTACTTTTGCTTCTGTTCCGGTGTGCCGAAAAGCAAAATCCCCTTGAAGCCAATAGACTGATGAGCACCAAGTGCAATTCCAATACCTAGACAAGACAGAACCACCATGCAAATAGTTATGTGCAATAAGCTGCAGAAATACAGCAAAATGTAGCAACTGTGCACTAAAAGAAAAAAGAAGAAGAAAACAAGTAATTTGACGGTCAACTAAATAAGATGCCAGCTGCCAGTTCAACAGAAATCATGATAAGTAAATCGCCCTTTCTTACCTAGATCGTGTGCTCCCACTATCTCTACCAAACGGGCATACTGTGTATTGTTCAGGCCAAGACCATTAAATTCCTGAGGAACCTATTGTACAATAAAAATATATATTTATAATTACAGTATGAGCTGTATTTAACCTATTAAGCCTATAATTGGCTGCTTGTCACAACGACCTGCATTAATATTTATAGCTTGATTTCATCCTTCGTTTTTATAGCCAAATATGTTTGTGTTCAAATTTCTGTTTATGTTTCCATACCTGTCCTATATGAAATTAATGACACTAGTTTGCCCGGTGGCCTTACCTGCAGCCCAAAAGCTCCCATCTCACCAAGTGCGTTCATAATTTTATCAGGTATTACACACTGCTCATCATTCTTAGTCGCGTCATTCACTTCCTGAAATGTGCGATACAAAAAGAACGATGTAATAGAGGTGATAGGTATTTCATATAGCAAAACCTTTCCTGCCAAGAATTTTTGCCTTTTGCCTGCAAGATGATATATATCTTCTACAAACGTGTTAGAGTAAAATCCCAAGTTTATACAAAAGAATCATCATACCGTAAAGAACTTTTCAACAGGGTCAACAAGTGCCTCTAGTGTCTCCGTTTGTTCCTCTGACAAAACTAAAAGGAAATAATTGGAAATTATAAATAGTGACTTGGCAGATTAAACCAATTTCAATATTACTTTAACGTCTTTGAACAATGTTAAGCTGCTAGCTTTAGAGATTAATAAAATACAAAGGAACACAGGCATGTTTGGTAGATCTCAGGTTTCAAAATTAGTTATGAAAAGGATACATGCTGATTATTTCTGATAATGAATATCTCACTGACTCATGAGTTGAGATGCCCATGCTATGTTACACAGGTATGTAGAGGCATCATGAGAAAACACACTATAGCATTGTGAGTGCAAGGCTTTGAATAAACTATCCTTGAATATTTAATTCTTACCATTAGGAAATGGAAACACATGCTCCACTTCCACTTGTCCTCTGAACAAATTCTTTGCAAATGAGGTAGAGTCCTAAAAAACAAGATTTAATACTTTAATTTGAAATATAAAACTTTGGTTCGAGGGTGTGGTTGTAAACTCCGACGTATTTCAGACTGGTAGGGGAAGGCCTGTTTGATTACAGAAAGGTTTGTGTGAGTTGCTCATTTCAGGAGAATGAAGGAGACGCAGCCTGAGGGAGGAGCTGCGCCGGAGGCTGAGAAGCAGGTTCGGGAGGAGGATCTGCTTGGCGAGGAGAAACCGGAGGCGATGGAGCTCTGCGATGGGTGGGTGGAGATGGCCTTCGTGGAGGAGCTGCTATTATTCCCCCTGACAGCGATGGCGACCCCAGTGGCAGGGGCCGAGTCGGCGTCTCGAGAGAATTGCGCCGATGTTGCCGAGATCGCCCGGGCATGAGTGCAGTAGGTCTCACAAACCCACCCCGTGCCCCGGTGAGAAGCGCCGCCGCACGTGCAGCGACGCTCAGGCAGGCAGTGGCGGCGATCGACGAGGAAGGCACGGAGGAGCGACAAGCCAGCACCGAGATAGATCCAGCTGGTCTCCTCCGCGTCGGGTGCCGGTGCACCGCTAGGTATGTTTTTGGGATCGACCTGACGGTCGATCTTGAAGGGGGGAGGAGTGTAGCGGTGGCACCGGACCCTAGACCGGGTTCCTAGCAGGGTGGCTCCCTGGGAACCAGGGAGGTGCTCGGCGTGATCCCCGTGGTTTGTATTGGTATTAATTATTTGTGATGTCTGTTGCTTATTAGTGTGCGTTTTTGTGGTTGTTTGGCCTAGGGCTCATCAGATTTTAACCGCATGTTTCTAGATAGTCGAGCCCCCTGCCATTGGGGCCAGCCCCTAGTGTTTGGTTAGCCCCCTCAAGCGGCCGCCCGTCGCATCCACGTTGGAGTGGCGCTGGCGTGTAAACGCTAGGCCAGTGACGTGTCAGAGACACGGTATAGTTCTAGCGGACACTCGGTTGAGGGAGGACTAGTGTTGCAGTTCGTGCCGGAAGCCGAGTGAGGAAGGACTCGGCAGGTAGTAGCCACGTCTACTCCGTGCGTATGCATGCTGTAGAGTGGCCTGTGAGCTGTGTGTGTGTGGCGGTTATGGTGACAATTAGCGTACGAGTACCAGACTACCAGTGGTGAGGTACTGTACCGGTCACGGGCGTTTTGGCGTGTGCCTTGCCTCATGGGTGAGAGAGACAGGCGCGTCGGTTAATTGGTGAGTAGGCACTGTCGTATTGTCCCGTCGTTGTGGGGTGAGTAAATAATACAGTACTATTTTATTAGTAGTCAATATTAAACAGGTTGGTTTAATATTCCTAGGCTAGAGTACGGGTATTGAGAAGTATTAACTCTCGTGCACGGCTGCACGAGAGGAGAGGCCGCCGGTTACTGTAGGCCTATGCCCGGCTGCGTTCGTAGTTTATTCTACTTGTTTAACCTCTGTGCTTACCCGAGGTGTGCACTGGTTATTCAACGTAACGTATAAGGCCGGCAGGCAGGGGTGGGGTTACCCCGTTGTCGTGTCTGAGGTGTGTGTCGCCCCTCGTCTCGCATGGTTGACTAACTCTACGACGCACCGAACCGGAACACGGCAGAACAGGTTATTGCGGGAGCGCCGTAGCTTCCAAAGCGCTCGGGTGGCTAGCGGTGTCCGGGAGGCGACGATCACGGCCAATACAACGTCTCCGGGCACAACGGGTGAGTGATAGACCTAAGATTGTGTGCTAGCCATTGTCGACCGGTGGCGCCATCGGGTGTCGCCGGAAAGCACGAAACGCTACACTTATAGATTCAATTACTCTACTTTCTTAGGTAAATTTACTATGTATAAACCAGGCACATACAATATTAAAAAACGCTAACATAATTTACCAACCATTTTATGTGAATCATCACTCATGTGTCTTGCAGATACGAAAGCAGCAGCACTGAACCTGAAAATAATTCAATGAAAAATTGACAAACATCTCTCTATTAATAAAATAAATTTTAGATTACATTTAATTATATGCCTGCATACCATCACCCCTGCACTCGAACATTTACAAAGTGTAGATCTTATTCTTAAAATAAATACAACCGGACTATCATTAATTTTGAGCACTAACACCCCATTACAATTATGATTTCAAGCTGATAGAGGAAGGACTGTATGATTAGTCATCCCAAACACTGCAAGTTTACTAAGGTCATCCTATAATAAATTGCAACCAGTTTTGAAATCTAGTTTTTCATTATTTTATGATGCATCACCTTACATGCACTATCTAAAATGCTCAATCCATGTGCAAGTGAAACACCCCAAAATTATTATCAAATATCTATATATACTTATTACATTATCAATATGAAAGATCTAATTAATCACTAAATGTGGATAAAAAAAACATTACCAATGTTTATTTATTTAATGGTGGACTGGTAGATCGACAAAAATGAAATCATGAGCTTGCATATGTTCATAGTAGGGGCCTAGGCTATTGTATATATGTTTACCAAATTCTTAAATAAATTGGAATTATATAACACATATATGGATGGGACAATATACAATCAAATTTTCAGATGATGAAGGTTCTTGATGAGTACGTTGAGAAGCCTCAATAGGCAAATTACGACGGGTAAAAGCGCTGAAAGACGTTAGTGGCTACTTAATTTGATGCCAGATTGAAAGGCGTCAGGATCTTCAGCAGAGATGAGTGCCTCCTCAAGGTGGCTCCACTCATAAACTGTCCTCATGAAAAATGAGTTAATTCTTATACTGTTCAGTACGACTGAACGGAACTTTGAAACAAAAAAACTGATCGTTCTACTAAGTTTATGGTCTCGTACTCGCGTAGATGACCGGTTCCGATTTTATGGAGGTTATGTAGGGGTTTCAAAGTAGACCTATGGAGTTGAAAGTAAGATATACCGCACACTATTACTTGTCGGAATTAAAATTTACACCACAATTACCAAGTTACCAACCCAAAAAAAATTAATGCATGAAACAAAGGAACAAGTTTATTGTGGAATAAAGCATGTATTAAACTACAATTTTTACACAACATCTTTAAACTGACAGAAATTTGCACAGTACAACAGCCAACGCTTGGTTCATGGAAATAAGCGCTGGCCACAATTCATTTTCGCAACATGTGCAAATGTGGACAGCTCTTATATCCTTGGGCCCATGCAAAGCTTTCATCCCTGCGTGAAAACGAATCAAGATCAGATTCCCTGAATACAGAGGGCTGCAGGAATAAAACGTATAGCTCAGTTGTATTGTGGCAATTTGGACGCTGGTTTGAAAATATCGCGAAAAATAGTAGGTTAATGCACCTACATTTACAACTACAACTTACAAGGATCAGCTACAATTTTGCACGAATTAAGCTTCAAGGTTGATTAGTAGTGTAATGATTTTTCATTTGATCTGGTATGTGTTACCGATATCCATGATTTAAATGGAAACTAATAGGTCAATGTTTAATCATGTGTCAGACTGGTGTCCTTGACGAATAACTGTTGAGGAGCTACTATGCAATATCAGTTGTATTATGTATACCAAAACTAAAGAGGAAGTCCCAGGCAGTGGCAGTAAGTTTGTATAGCCAAGTGACATGTGATAACTTTCTAGTGTTAATCACTGCTTTTCGCAGATACTACTGCTCGTAGGGTCTATGTCCACCTGACCTCTGTTTGACCTGGCTCGTTTAGCTTTTTCTGACTAACCCTAACCCTATATATATTATATATTATATCAAGAGTAGATAATAACAAGATAGATATATATATACAGGCTTCTTCAAGAGCACTTATAGCCTGGCGGCCCGCCAGGCTATCGTCGAGCCCCGCCATCCTAAAATGCACCCGCCACTCTAAATATCATAGCCGCCATGCTAAATTAGGCCATAATATAGGCCATAAGGCATAATTGCATAAATGCCATACCCGGCCTTCGGCGATTTGCAACTAGTACCGTAAAGGCAGCACCGCCATGCTTAGCTCTAGTACTATAGCCCGCGGATTGCTGCCGCAGCAATCCGCGGGCTATAGTACTAGAGCTACGCCATGCTATAATAAAAAAGCTTGGAGAACTATTATATATATATTACTATATTAGTCAGAAATAGCTAAACGAGCCAGGTCAAACAGAGGTCAGGGGGACATAGACCTTATCTGCGATACTATAGGCCTACTACTACCGGCACCGCGTTCCATAACGTGTGCCCTTGGAAAAGGCACTGCTAAAGCAAGAACGATAAACGGCTTAAAAATAATCTCCTCGTGAATACTTACCAAGTTACATATCCTAGACCAACTTTCAAGGGCCTTGTAAAAAAACTTAGAAACAGAATCTGAGAATGTGAGATAGGGCCTAACAAATTTTAATTAACCTACCTGTGCCTTGGTTTTGTGATTGCTAGCGTAGAATTAGAGCCTACGCGTAACAGGCGCAAAATATTCCTGTTAATACTAATAGGCATATTTAACGTGGATAGCAACTTTCTTTAGTAACAAGTAACGAAATACGTGATCTTTCGTGTGTATGGTTTTGAAATGGCCTTGTACCGATGGCGAGGCAAAGGTTTCCACACAAACTGTATACGTCATAGTTTTTCGTGCATTGCCAAGAATGTTTTTGCGTAAACAGATGGAGGCTGCCATATTGGTTCCGCTTCCATAGACGGCCTCACCCCGTCGTACTATATCTTAATATCAACATAAGCAAGAGATAGAGAGTCAGTCTAACCATCGCTCCGAAAAGGCAGCTGGTTTGGTACAGTCGTCACCTCGATAAAATAGTGTTACTTACAACCCGTCACCTTGTTGATCAAATTGAATTAATAGTTGAATTTTGATTTCAACTTATCCCGCTATCTGATCGTGCTGATTTAATTATTAGTAGCGCAACCAAGCTACGAGTACGAGACTAGCGCCATCGTCAATACACTAGTCACTACCCAACACCGTTCACGTCACTGGTACGTCGCGTCGTTCGTATGACTGTTTTTTTACACAATAACTGAATTAGTAATATTACTATACTAGGACTCCAATATTACTGTGACATATTATTGTGTGACATGCTCTAAATCCTGATAATATACTGGCCACTCCCTGCAGGCAGAAATAGTTTCAACTTCCAAGTAGTTCCCTAACTTCACTTCACTCTTCAGTCTTCAGTTCAGGTTCGCGTGTGTAATTGTGCAAACCAGCGCTCGTAGGGTCTATGTCCCCCTGACCTCTGTTTGACCTCGCTCGTTTAGCTATTTCTGACTAACCCTAACCCTAACCCTAATCCTAACCCTAACCCTAACCCTATATATATTATATATTATATATATATATATATTAGTCAGAAATAGCTAAACGAGCGAGGTCAAACAGAGGTCAAGGGGACATATAGACCTTATCTGCCAAACCAGCAGCTGGTTCACTTTTTGTTTAGAGTTTCAGCTTGTATAAGCTCTAGTTCTACTACCTACTTCACATGTGGGAGAAGCTGTTGTGTACGTACCTTTGCCGATCTAACTGTCGGGGTTCTGGTGTTGGCGAATGTAACCTATAGCGGCGACAGGCACTTAGAGCGTTTCAATAAAATATAATGCTAAATAAATACGAAATCTATTTTACTACCAAAATCTTAATGTTTCTCTACTCTCTTTCGCCTATTATTGCTGACAATTTCCTGTAAATGCCGTGCAAATGCTCCTCTGCAACACACATGTACACCGCACGCACGCTGCCGCACACTGACACATAAATATGTCGGCAATAATAGGCGAGAGAGTAGAGAAACATTAAGACTCGAGTACTTTGAGCTACATTGAGTGACTTGAAGCTACTTTGAGTAAGTACTCTGAGTTTGGTAGTAAATAGATTTCGTATTTATTTAGCATTATATTTTATTGAAACGCTCCAAGTGCCTGTGCTAGCGGCATGCACTGGTGTTTTTGGCGACAGAGGAAGGAAGCCCTCTGGTCGATGAATCTGCGGTCTTCTAGGGTCATCATTGGCTTCTGATCATCATCATTTCTGTTACATTCTCGGTTCGTTGGTATTTCCTTTTGTGAATCGTGCTGCATTTTAGTGCGCTTTCTTCAGGGAGGATGTGTTCGCTCGAGTGTGTGAATTCTAGATGGTATGGTGAATCCTCGATCGTATACACCAGAGTTGCTCACTTGCGCGCACACGTGCGAACATGCAACACATGCTCACGCGCACGCACGCACGCACACGCACGCACACACATTTAGACTTTCAGAGTGATAAAGGGTCATGCACTTATTCAATGTGACTCTTGAATATTAAATTATTTCACGAGAGAATATAATAAGGTATGTATAATTCATCCACAATTGATTATGAGTGTTGCTCAGTTTTTTTTTCTCATTTCAGACTTTCATCATGTTAAATAAATCTGGTTGAGTATATGATCATCAAAATCTGAAGAAATGAACCACAGTCATGATGCCAGCCATTGCTCAACACATCAAATGCCAAACCCATCAGTTATGCAAACGATGCCAGAGATGGAGTTTGAAAGAGGGGTGTGGTCAGCAGGTGATTGATTGTCTGTTCAGGTTCTCACAGCCATTTATTCATTTATTAGATGGCATTTATATGGTTCAGAATATGTAACTTTTTCCTGAGAAAAAAATATTTGTAATAGTAGGCTTTACATGAATTGAGTAAATTTATGCATAATTAGTAAGTTAAATCTGTTAATGTTTTGCTCTAGCACTGAGTGGGGAAGTGGGAAAAGTTAACAACTACCTTGCAAAAGGCGGAGATGCAAATGCTGTTGACAGTTCTGGATACACTGCATTGGTAAATGAAGTTATCAGTATATAGTAATTTGCAGAGGAGAAATTGTAGTATATACCAGTTTATATAGTGCCAAGTAGTGTATACTGTTAAAGGTTTAGATCGATTCTGAGTAGTAAGAATTATGCTTGTTTCGTAATTTAAATAAATATCAAAGTCATAACCTCACTGTTAGGGTCATTTATGGAAACTATATATTTTTCCAGCACTATGCATCTAGAAGTGGACATCGTGCAGTCATCGCAATATTGCTACAACATGGTGCTAATCCAAATATACAAACACGTGCAGGGGGTGCCACTGCCATGCATAGGGCAGCATATTGTGGCCATAGTAAGGTAATTCTTGACCTTCTACAAGCAAAAGCTGACCCAACATTACAAGATAAAGATGGAAAAACTGCCCTTCACAAGGTAATGTCAATTGTTTTAAGAGAAATTTCTAGATGAAAATCAAGTTTATTTGTAAGTGTGTGGTAATGATCAGCGTAATACACAATCAAAATTCAAGTTCAGGACCTCAGTTGAATTTTACAAATACTGGTAGCATTACGGCTGGTCTGTGAACTACACTTCAAATTTATCTCTATCTCTCTTTCTAGGCAGCTGAGATGAGTCAGAAGGAAGCATTTGAAGTACTCTTGAAAACCAATAAACATCTTTTAAACATAAAGGATAATAATGGGAAAGCACCAGTAGACTATATCAAGGAGCACAAAGCTCATCTAGAGCACTGTAAAGAGATATTACAGAATCTTTAAAGAGGCAACACTGCATCACAGATGGCAAAGTGCATGACCTAAATAACTGTAATATAGCATCGAATATGGAACTAAGATGGCTGGTAAGTATTACATCGCAGTGGTTGTCAGGCAGGTATTGTGATGAGGTAATTATTGTAAACCAGAGCTTACCAATCGTGGCATAGGGCCAATCAGATACTGCTGTGGTAGATGCCATCTGGCGATCTCACCATGGCTGGTATAGTTTGTTAGTGGCTGGTATGCATCATGCCATGGCAGTTCTTATTGGGGTTCTAACACGATCCAATGAAAATAATTGTGTTAGTTTAGGTTTTAATAGCAATCATAATTCGTTATTTTGCAAAGATGATTTGAAAATCGTGTACAGTTGTACTCACATGATAGTAAATGGAAATTTTTATATGTTATAAACGGTGACATGTTAATTTGTTTACAATGTATTGTTATGTCGTACATCAGCCATTAATAGCACAGCGTTATAGAGCATTCATTTATTGTCAGTCTAGTAGGGCAGCTAATATGAGATTATAGTTTTATACTCATCATTACCAATCACAGTCAAAATACGTAAATGCAAGAAATCTATTTAGATAGTTTGTGCATACACGTGATACAATGTATACAAGCGGCACAAGAAAAGATAACACGTGAAACATATGCCCAAAAAAATGACAAATACAGTGGCAGATAGTGAGGCAAATGCTCAAATGAAACCCGTATTGTAGGATTGTATAGAATCCTCCGCACATGGGTCAAGTGTGTCTGGTGAATAGATGTAGGTTAGTGGACTTGTTGTATCGCTAGGAGCGCTGGAGGATCCAGGAGAAGTGACCTGCTTTGCTTCCTTCATCTCCAGGTGCTTTTTTCGTGCCTTTACTTCTATGGAATGTCGTACCTGATGTGAAAGCTAGGACAGAAATAAATGCCATCATCTGTTATTATGATTTCACCTCTCTTGTATTGCACACCTCGACGTTTAGAGGTAGTATTTCAAGAATTAGGGAACTACGGAGGCTTGAAATGTACATCCTCTTGCAAATCCAAATAATCTATGTGAATGATTATAGTGCGACTGAAATGCTTTTTTGTAGTCCCAAGAACAAATACGATGTTCTAAATTGCACATTGATTCGTACTGCATCTGCCATGGTATTTCTCAACGTTACCAACACCAAATACCTGGTGAGGATAGACAGCAAGTGTATCTATGCTGTCACTACTATCTCCCATCTGATAGTGGTGCGGTCTGTAATGGGTCAGCTTGGGGTGGGCGATCTTTTTTGATTTATAAACCCACTGGTAGTCTTTTCCTAGAGTGGACCTATCGGAAGTAATACTTTTTTTGTTGGCGGCGTTCGAAGGCTGGAAAAAATATAACGAATGCATTTTATCGAAAAAGTGCGTATACTTCATTTTCATCGGGAAAACTGTCTATCCATAATTGGTAAACGCCTCCAATTTAGCATCTCTAAATCGCTAGTAGTGGTTATTCAAGCATGTTATTGCCATGATTAGACTATTGAATGTATTGCCCACCGAGGTCCACGTTGTTAGGTCTCCACTGTACAGCAGAACAGGTCGGATCATCAGAAAGTAGATGTACTCCACTGCCAGGAATGAGCTTGCTAGTCCAATTCCAGCTCCTATGGTACTCATAGTAAATGCTAAAACGAGAATATGGATTTTACAGATGGATTTCGATTACTGTGTTTTTCGCTAGAGGGTACATACCCGTAAGCATAACTTCTCATTTTAACCCCTCCCACAAAAGTCCCTCCCCCCAATTTATATCACGAATCTATGTATACTATAATAAAATATGATATAACACAAGCACGTACGTGTATTGTTTGTTATACGCATAGTCAATGAGAAGCTGAGTGAATGGCCAATTAACATTTCCTCCAAATTACCACGGAAATATAGCTTAGCTACTCTCACAGCAGCTCCAATGTGTGTATGCAGTAAGCTGTGCTGATTGTCTTGTTCATCTCTCTGGCACAACAAACCCACCTGTCCTGTACAATGTTTCGTAGCCCAGCAGCACGGCAACCCTTTGCTCCTCACTCCGCCAGATCCTCTCTTTGCCGACTACGAGCATAACTATGTTTGCTGCGCTGACCAAGAACACTGTCACTGAGATTCCTATCAAGCCTTTGCTCTGTAAACGCAGGCAAAACCCCAGAAGAAATGCAAATAGTCTGAGAATGAATGTGTGCTGCACAAGGCTGCGAAGCAATCGATAATGAGGATCGACGAAACTTTTAATTGTTGCTAATTTTGTTAATTTGTCTTAACCACAACCGCGTTGTCTGACTTTAATAGAAACTGCTCAGTGGCGCCCAGGCCACGTGCCATACCTGCCATACCTTAGTTACGCCACTTCAAATAGGAGAATGTATTTTTGAATACGTCGAAGTAAATATATTCTGTTATAGCGGTCGTCCACTTACCCTTCTACGTGTTGGGTTTCCTGTGACCGAGAACACGATCATTGCAACGCCTGCCATCGCTATCTGAAAATACGTTTAATAAAATCAGTGGTTAATAATGAAAAATTTGTCATTATTAACCTCTGATAACATGTGTGTTATCATTGATGAAATGCGTAGTTGCGCGTGTGCGCGCGTGCGTGGATGCGAGCACGTGCGCGTGTGCGTTGGTTGCGCGCGCGTGTTTGTATACGTAAATTCCAGCAAATTTTACATAATTTACTTTCCTAGTATACATATATATATATATATATATATATATATGTATATATTTATAGTAGCAAATGGAGTTCTACACATACCGGAATAGTATCTGGAGCTAGAATAGGGTGCCCGTTGTCAGAAACGTCGTAAAGTTAATGCCATTGTTAACACTCATGTTGTTTCTGACAACGGGCTCGTGCATGGCATTTACCGTCGCAGCGCCGACGGAAGTTCCGACCCAGAGCAGGCAGGCGGCCGTGTAGACGGGCAGCGGCATCCTGCTGACGGCAGTGGCTGCGACGATGATCTCCATGACGCCGGCCGTGACGAAGAGAACGCCGAAGACGCAGCAGCCGAGCATGGCGCTCTTACGCTGACGGCACATGACGGATGCTGGTCACCAAGCAACGCCTCCAGCTTCCGCATCAGTCGTACGACCGCACGCACGCACGCACGCACACGGGCACGCACGCACGCACGCACGCACGCACGCACGCACACTGGCACGCACGCCGCTTCTTATCTGGATAAGAACTCACCGGGTGTAACACGTTCACGCGTTTACTCAGTTGTCGCTTATCTATACTCGGTGGCTCGTGTGACGGTGTGTATATACAGAGTAACTTTACACGTATGTACGGGCACTTATATCGCCAGTAGTTGATGCTTGTATTATCAATATAGCTGACGCTTATTTAATCATTAGCTCACACATCTGAAGGCTGTGGATACCGCTATCTGCCACGTCTATACGGTCAGTAGTTTACAGGTAAATGCAGAACAGTTCACAACTTCACACGTATATATACCGAGTAGCTGGGGAGTCGCTCACACGGCGTATATACTGGGCACGTATGCAGTCAGTAGCTGGAGCGTATACACCGGGTAGTTCACACACGTAGACACACACTCACACCTATATATGTAGCCAATTCACGTGTATATGTAGTCACTTCACGCGAATATTGCCAGTAGTTCTGGTGTATATATAGTCAATAGTTCAAGTTTATATAATCAGTAGATCACGTGTATATCGTCAGTAGGCCTAGTTCACGTGTATATGTAGTCAATCGTTCACGCACATATATATAGTCAGTAGTTCACGTGTATATAGCCACCAGCAATATACGTGTAGACATGGTAAGTAGCTCACGCACTAATTCTCCGTAGCAGGTGTGAGAGAAGTGTTAGTAGCTGAACGCAGATTGTTTGTCTGGCGAGCTCCTGACATGGACTGACCACTGGCCACTGGCTTCACCTGGCAAAGTGCCAAGCACGCTCGATCACGCTTAAGACAGGACGTGCTAGGTTTTCGTTCAACTTCACTTATATATCAGAGATACGACCCGCAGTGACCGCATAAAATTCGCCGGTGTTTCTCCGAATGTTTCCAAACATTTTTATACCAAGATATGACAAGTTCAAACGAGTTTTTTTAATAATATATGAAGTAATTATATTCATTGAGTTAGCAGCAAATCTGCGAATGCAAAAGCAACGTTATGGGATTGGTGTAATATCTGGTTCGATCACCGTGGCGGTGTTAGGAAATTTCCCCCTCCTTCCAAGCCACTACAGCTGCCATCCTCACTTTACCTCCAGCCACCAACTATGTAATTCTATCGCTCTCCCCCCCTCTCTCTCTCTCTCTCTCTCTCTCTCTCTCTCTCTCTTTCATTCTCTCTGTGATCTTACTATGTTTCTCTGTCTGTCTGTCTCTCTCTCGCGCGCACTCTTTCACTTTCCCTCTCTCTGCCTCTCGTTTTCATTCTTTCTGTCTCAAATGAACTTGCTTTTTTACTAGCAAGCCAACGTTAAACAAATGAAATCAGTAGGGCATGCTTCTTATTGGTATACCATGTATGTCCAACTAGTCATATAAAAAAACCACGCATTCAAGAAGAAAGAATCCCAACATTTGACAAATTCACGTATTATTGCATGATTATATACAAACAGTAACATAGAAAGCTATAAACATTACAAAAGAAACTAGACACTGGCCATCAATTTCAATGAAATATATCTTACATGATGAGAAATTGATTACCTAAAGCCCGACGCACACGTGAGTTATTTTACTCAAGTAAAATGACGCACGAGTCAAATTACTCAACGAAAATCTGCTGCACACGTGAGTAAAATGACGCATGCATCAAATTACTCAACGAAAATCCGCCGCACACGTGAGTAAAATGACGCATGCGTCAAATTACTCAACGAAAATCCGCCGCACACGTGAGTAAAATGACTCGTGGGTCATTTTACTTGAGTAAAATAACTCACGTGTGTGCCGGGGTGCATTACACGAATCAGGCTTCCTAATTGAAACCAATGCGAGTATTGTACTGGGTTTCAAGTTGAATCGAGCGAGTTGGCTGCAGTCCAATCGTAGAATAGAAATCTGACCGCATATTGCCTGCATGATACCCTGCCTCATGTTTACAATTAGTGCACAACGCATCATGAACGCATCATGGCTGCCAGGATTGTCACTGTACAATGTTGATAGGTCTCAATTGTCACAGCAAGTCCAATAGCAACGCCTCTCCAGGAAAATTGCTGTCCAAGAAAATGTCAAAACGACAGCAGGGGAAAGGCTTTCCAAGTAATGGACACTATTGTCAACTATGGTCACTATGGACACTATTGTCATCACAGCAGCAACAGCGAAGCCTTCGTAACAGTCATCATCAGAAGCGGTTTCTGCAGTCTGTGCAATTTGGAGTAGCCAAGTAATGGTCAGCGTGGCAATAGCGAAGGAGGAGTCACTTTTACAAGTCGCCATGGCAACAGAGAAGCCTGAGGAATAGCCGGAAGTCCTCAGCAGCTCACAATGTTCGTTCAACTTTGTTTTCCCGTGTTGAAGAAGTGGCAATAGAGGTGTCCAACCGCACTCGTGTTCAACTGGAGAATCGATCGCAGTGTATCGGTGTGGCAGCTGCTACAGCCTGAAAGCGGGGATGAAAATATATATATATATATATAGCATCGGTTGTAGCCAGGCGATGGCAAGGCAGCAGTTATATATTTCATGTTGATATTCATATTAATGGCATAAATCTTTTCAATTAGCCTAAAGCCTACATAGCAGACGACTTTTGAAGACAGATGAGAAGTGGGTATAACTCTGTTTCAGTTTGCCACCAATGGGATGGCGCATGTATGCAGGCAACGTAACTGGCAGTGTACCACGTGTCGAACCCAACTTACCAGGCATAGGACCAGGGCCAATTCCAGTTTGGCTTATGTTGTTTTCATGAATGTATTGCCATACATCTCTCAGAAGCAGATGAGTTTCATACGGACTCAGCAATGGAAACAAAATGCTGATGTCGCTTAGTGGTAGCGGTAATAGCTTACCCTGTGAGAAAAAAGATTTTTGCTTGTTATTTATTATCGTGGAGTGTAGTATATAACACTAACCGCTAAGAAACAAACCAATGAAAAACTACGATATGTAGTATTTCACATAATTATTACAGGTTAATCAATCTATAACGGCACCTGGTTCATGATCTGAATAACACGGCACGAAGCTTCCAGTTGCCATGGCGATGCGGTTGTCGCTGAATCACGACAATTTTCCCAGTAAGCGAGGAGGATGGCGACAATACCCCGGAGCAGCACTGAACATTGTAGCAGTGCTGCTCTGTCTAGTGTCATAAAAAAACAAAGTTACTTCGTATTATTGCTTGATGATCAAAAACGCTGGCCAATGATAGTTATTAACCAAGGTAAATGTGAAAACTACAAGGATTTTTTTCGGGATAGTTTTGCTGACTAAAACAATAGTTCGCATTAATCTCTTCAGTCGGCACTACAACAGCCAACAGGTCAGTGCTGTACAGAAGTACACAACGGTCACCTACCTCTGCTTACAAAATCTAGTAGCTCCCACAAGACTGGGTATTCATGGAACCTTTTCTTTATCACGAGATCTCTGTAACAGGAGAAATGATAGTCAGTTACACCTTCATGCATTGTAAATTATATGATAGTATAGGCACAAATAGTTGCCAAGTTATCAAGTTGAATGCATTGGATTTTCACGGGTAACTGCAGTAGTATACCTCTCCACAGTACAACGGGCGAACGCTTCCTCTGGCCAATCAATCTGATTATACAGAACATCTGGAGTAGCCATCTCCGTCAGCATCAGTGCTATAGCCTCCAGCGCAGCGACACCTGGCTCAGCCGTCACCAGCTGCTCGGTTTCCATGGCGATGTCGAGTTCCATCGTGTCCGTTTCATCGTTCGGATGATAGAGGGAGCAGGCTTGCACCACATCAAGAAACAGCTGCCGATTCGTGCTGATCTCATTCTGTCAGAATCCGTCAATTCAAAAGCAGCGTCAGATAAATTGAACTGCCCCGCCCTCTCCCACCAGGTGCAGCAGCCTCTGTCACCAAACGACGTAACTACGTTCAAGCAGAGTGTACAATCATGAGATGACCACGACAATCATGATGTTTATCTACAAATTTTACCTCACAAAATATTAGCATAGCGAAATATTAGCATGGTGTCTTTGGAAGAAGCTTCCTACCATTCATACCCTGTTACACTCTTTCACCCCTGATAAACAAAAATCAACTGTATCATGCAATATCATCAAAATTCATTTGACCCTCGAGCAGTGAGCAAATTCCTATGCACGCAATGGCACGCACTGCATTTTAACGGCATCATCTTGTACACAGACGACAAGCTTTTCTGGAAGCAAATAATGACCTGCATCGCTAATTAAATTGAGTTCCTCCATGAATTAATACCCTCGTGAACATGGCCGCTCTCGGCGGATTCTGGACGCCTTTGCCGATGATGCCGGCGTGGAAGACGCTGGAGTGAGACTGCGGCAGAATGATTGCATGTCCGTGATGAGCGTTCTCCTCCAGCAGGCACGCCATCGCCGTCTGCTCGACCTTACACTTCTCAACAGGGGGCGCTGGAATCCTCGACCGCAGCGGCCCGGCCTGCCCCTGCAATATCGAGGATGATGTCAACATGTCGGCTAACGAAAATATCGTCACAATCCGATGAGACCGATTCGGTGCACTCCCTGTTAGGAATACTAAATTTTTTGAACTTATTTCCAGAGGAATGTAAATATCGTTTAACGATAATGTTAATGGAAACCGGTTTTCCTAGCCGGATAACAACCTCACATGTAATACAGCACATATTTTAACAGAAGGCGACTGACCATACTACAAAAGAAACATATTTAAATAGGGTGTCTGGATAGGATCTACAGGGCATAGTTCCACTCGCTTAACTTTCCAGGCTTCTACAAAAATAGTTGATGCAGTGTTAGGATAATCCCTAACTATTTAACGTGAACACAGCATAAACTTTTTTTCGCCAAAGCCCTGAATGCTAGCCTAGCGTCACCACATCCCGTGAAGCCTACCAGGGCCCACTATTCAAATATATCTCCTCTGGTAACACGACTGGGGAGATGAATCGGTGTGTGGGTGTGTACCTGCAGCATGCAGCCATGGACGAGGCTGTGCAGTAGCACGTGCTGCGCTCCGGGAATCTCGCTGAGGCTCTGCAGGTAGGCCCTGCAGGTGCGCACTCCGACCAGCTTCTCTTCCACAGCTGCGTGGAGCAGGATGCGCGCCAGCGAACAAAGAAACATGGGAAACTTTGAACAAACGTTTAATATAATTAAAATATGATTAATATTGCGAGGATTATTATGATTATGGTTAATAATCATGATGATTTATCATCATGATTACAATTATTACGTTTATAATTGTGACTATCATTATTAATTATGCACAGTATAATTTTAGCATTCATTCTCTCGAGAATGAGTAGTTTTTATCACAGCAGATCAACTTTGATATCTGAATGATAAGTTGCTAAGTCAATACCTTTGATATGAAGGACACTGAAGAAATATGCTGTAACACCAAAACACAATTGCAGCATCGTTCCTAATGGCAGGAGCCGAGGATGGCCAATGAGATGCAAGCACTGCATAGCGGCTGAAGACACTTTTCTATTATTCGACCGTAGATGGCAGCACAGGGGTGAGACATGATTTCGGAGGATGATGGCAAACCTGCGAAAGTCAGCGGACATTAGACGCCTGCAGATGTGAAGTAAAATGCGCAAGAGAAGCTTAAGTAGTAAGCATTCGATTCGTTACCGTCTGATTTCCCCCGAGAGCAACGTCATTATACGTGGTACCATCTGGGGAATTATTTGCTGCCGACGCGAGAGCGACACGATAGACAATTCAGTTGAGGTTGGAGATTCACCTGTTGCTTGACCTACGATGGCGCCACCGCAGCAGCAGCGTGAGCATGTTGCACAGGAGGGTCTCCAACATGTCCGGCTGGCTCTGCAGAGTGACGAACGCCTGAAAATCACCGTCACGTCAGCGTGGAAAAAAACTACACTCACTGGGCATCGAACGCAAAATCTCTATCCCTATGGGTTAGGCTGACCCCCCCCCCCAACCAGGCTAATAATCGGCAATCATCCTCCACTTGTTTTGAATAACACAAGCTGAAAATTGCCTTTCTCACAAGCCACATAGAGTAGTGTATAGTACCATAGCAGGGTACCGTATAGTAGAGTAGTAGTAGCAGCTAAGAGTAGTATAGCAGCTAAGCGTAGTAGTAGCAGCTAAGAGTAGTAGTAGCAGCTAAGCGTTAAGAATGTAATAACAAAACAGTAGTACTGGTAGTAAAAAGGTAATAACAGTAGCTAAGAGGTATCATCCAAGCGGTGGCGCTAGCAGCCCGCTACCTTGTCGACAGTTCTCTGCAGCGCGTTCGGCAGCTGGCTATCCATCTCCTGACTCATGCTCTGGAAGAGAGAAGCCATGCGGCTGTCCTGTCCGTGACACAGGAAGTGATGCAGAATGTCGGCTGCCACCGGCTCCCCGCCGTACTGACCGACAAAAGCGAGGATCCGACTGAGCCACACGAGCCTAATGGAAGAGAGATGGACAGTGGCTAGTACATCGCGCATAACGCGGTAACTTAGGATAGTTCTACGACGTATTTATAACTCTTGGCCACACGAGTCTAATGGAAGAGAGATGGACAGTGGCTAGTACATCGCGCATAACGCGGTAACTTAGGATAGTTCTATGACGTATTTATAACTCTTGGCCACACGAGTCTAATGGAAGAGAGATGGACAGTGGCTAGTACATCGCGCATAACGCGGTAACTTAGGATAGTTCTATAACGTATTTATAACTCTTGGCCACACGAGTCTAATGGAAGAGAGATGGACAGTGGCTAGTACATCGCCATGAACGCGTTAAACGTTAGGATAGTTCTACGACGTATTTATAAACTCTTGGCCACACGAGTCTAATGGAAGAGAGATGGACAGTGCTAGTACATCGGCATAACGCGGTAACTTAGGATAGTTCTACGACGTATTATAACTCTTGGCCAGCACGAGTCTAATGGAAGAGAGATGGACAGTGGCTAGTACATCGCGCATAACGCGGTAATTAGGATAGGTTCTACGACGTATTTATAACTCTTGCCACACGAGTCTAATGAAGAGAGATGGACAGTGGCTAGTACATCGCGCATAACGCGGTATACTTAGGATAGTTCTACGATGTATGTTATAACTCTTGGCCACACGAGTCATATGGAAGAGAGATGGCACAGTGGCTGAGTACAGTCGCGCATAACGCGGTAACTAGGATAGTTCTACGATGATATTTATAACTCTTGGCCCCACGAGTCTAATGGAAGAGAGATGGACAGTGGCTAGTACATCGCGCATAACGCGGTAACTTAGGATAGTTCCACGACGTATTATAACTCTTGCCCACGAGTCTAATGGAAGAGAGATGGACAGTGGCTAGTACATCGCGCATAACGCGGTAACTTAGGATAGTTCTATGACGTATTTATAATCTTGGCCACACGAGTCTAATGGAAGAGAGATGGGACAGTGCTAGTACATCGTGCATAACGTGGTAACTAGGATAGGTTCTATAACGTATTTATAATCTTGGCCACGAGTCTAATGGAAAGAGAGATGGACAGTGCTAGTACATCGCATATAGCACATAACACGGTAACTTAGCATAGTTTTATGGCGTATTTATTACTCCTGGCCACAACGGTCTAATGAAAGAGAGAACAGCAGTACGCTGGTACATTGTCTATAGCGCATAACACGGTAACTTTAAAGGCATAATAAGCCCATTAATTATACAATGTTGACGAATGCTAGAGTAACTGGCACCTTGTGTAGTTAATAAGTACATAACCTAATAGCCAAATGCGTATTAGTTTGTCCAATATCACTGCTGGTTATATTACAAACAAGACTTGAAATCGGTTGTTGATATGTATCAACGTATCATTTACGTGCCGTAAATGTCATCCAGGAGTTCAAGGCGATGGCACATAAACATTGTCGGCCCGTATGTTTTGGACGCAGATGAAATGGAGGTGTCAGCGGGTAACGGCCATCGGACTAAACATGGAAATGGAGTAAAACACACGTACTAATCACGGAACGCACGTGGACAGCCCTGACAAAAAAGTTCCTTATCGACGAGCGTCCATGTTTACGAAATCACTGATGATAGCATTGCGTACGGCCGAGCATGCGTGCGAAAATGTCCGGTGCACTATAAGATCGTGTATCACACCCGCTTCGCCGGCAGCGGTTTGAACTGTAAACAACTGATTTTTGGACTGCGGATTTTCAATTAGGCATTTCTTAGTAACCAGCAGTGACCATTGGAACAGAACTAATACGCGTTTGGAGTAAGGTTCGTGTTATTTGTTAACTACACAAGGTGCCAGTTACTCTAGCATTCGTCAACATTGCATAAGCAATGGACTTATTATGCCTTTAAGGATTTAGTTTTATATTGTATTTATAACACCTGGCTACACAAGTCTAATGGAAGAAAGATGAGCAAAACCTACTGTGTGTCATATATAGCGCATAACACAGTAATTTAGGCTAGTTTTATGATGCATTTACCACTCCTGGGAGTAGTTGTAACTAGTTAACTTGCTATGTCGACTAACCCCTGCTGGGGATGAGGCTGAAGTAGCATGTTGCACAATGCTATCTGGTTGCTGAGGAGACTGGCAAGGAACGGAATATCACCGCGTGTGGCTTCCCACGTCGCAATCATCCCAATCATCCGCTGCAGATCCATCACAAGCATATCCTGCGTAACAATTTCAATATGACGGTATGATGTAATCAGGAGTGTATATACATTGTTACATACAGTGTATTAGTGTATATACAGTATATTACAGTGTATTAGTGTATATACAGTATATTACAGCGTATTAGTGTATATACAGTGTATTAGTGTATATACAGTGTATATACAGTATATTAGTGTATATACAGTGTATATATAGTATATTACAGTGTATATACAGTGTATATATAGTATATTACAGTGTATATACAGATATATACAGTGTTATTACATACACTCCTCGTACATTGCTCTGCACTGAGACAATTAGTGCAATAGCCAGATGCTGTGTTCCTGCTGCAGTGAGATTTAATATGGTAAAATATTATTGTTGAGTGTTTTTATTGAAAAATATACATAGTTGGGTTCGCATAGGCTTTAAAACTTTGGGACTAGCAGTCGGGTAGCGTAGTGAAAAGTAATAGTAAACAAACAATATGTTAACACTATCCGGCTTGAGAACACTACCACTTACCAGGATTACTGTACAGCATTTTTCAACCTTTTCGTTGATGCCTGTATCCAGGGCCATGGTATTGATCAGGAACTGTAGAATGCCCAGAGAACCATCTGTGCTCATGATGATCAAATGCACAACCAGGCTCAGCAAACTGTAAACAATGCAAACGTGTACATGCAACATGCGCACCAAAATTCAGCATAAAAAGATTCAACAAACGTACACGATGCAAGAACACATGTAGGAAATACATAGTACAGTATAGTGCTCTATCATTATAGCCAGCTTACCTGTCGAGGTCCTGGACATGTGAGAACTGCCATTTTCCCACCTGAACAGCTAGCTGGTTGAGCACGTCTGGCGTGAGAGTTTTCACAGAGTCCGTTGCAATCACACACAGCAGCATGGGAGACAGAGAGGCGAGGTGCAGAAGGTAGGGCACCGTAGCTAACCTGAAGTCGTCCACGTCATCCTGAAGACTCTCCTACAAGGTTTTGGTACGGATAGCGACGTCTTATAACCAGCATTGTAGGCCCATCACACTTGTTATTATTGTCGTTTAGGGATAAGGTAAACTGATCAGCTGCACTCCCTCCACACACGCAGGCTTACGCACGCACGCACGCACGCACGCACGCACGCACGCACGCACGCAAGAACGCACGCACACATGCACACACATGCACCGTGTACCCCCTACACCGACGCGTGTACGCTAGCTCGACGCGCGTGCCCCCCTACACCGACGCGTGTACGCTAGCTCGATGCGCGTGCTGTCATCGTTTCAGCTCGTGCTTCCCGACGACGATGATCACCAGGGTGCTGCACTGCGGCCTCAAGGACTTCTGCTCGCATGGCAGCGCGCAGCAGCAGCAGCAGCAGCAGCAGGCGGACTTCTCCGGCAACTCCTCCTCCGCGGACGGTGGCGGCGGCGGCGGCGGCGGCGAGAAGGTGCCGAAGATCGCGTCCGTCGTGGGCATCCTCGGACACCTGGTGACGCAGCACGCGCAGGGCATACACAAGGCCCTGCTCACGCTCTTCCAGGTATCGACGGCGAGCGCGAGCGTGGCGGATGCTCGAACCCGGATCTGTTCGCGGGGTGCACGTGGTGGGATGGAGTGGGAGTGGGGGGTTGTCACTGTTATACCTCTGGTGGCTGGTATGTGCGTGTGTGTGTGTGCGCGCATGCGTGCATGCTTGCGAGTATGTGTGTGTGTGTGGGGGGGGGGGGTTGTATGGTGTGTGTATCTATGTGCGTGTGTGTGTTTGCCCCCTACACCGACGCGTGTACCCCCTACACCGACGCGTGTACCCCCCTACACCGACGCGTGTACCCCCCTACACCGACGAGGGGTACACGCGTCGGTGTAGGGAGGGGTACACGCGTCGGTGTAGGGAGGGGTACACGCGTCGGTGTAGGGGGGGGGCACGTGCGTCGGTGTAGGGGGGCACGTGCGTCGGTGTAGGGCGGGGCACGTGCGTAGGTGTACGGGTGGGGGCGGCATATTTCGCTCGCGTTCCCATACGCCCGGCGCATCGCTCGTATTCAACATGTTGAATATTTCCGCCCGGGTTTTCGACCCNGTGTGTGTGTGTGTGTGTGTGTGTGTGTGCGCGCGCGCGTGTGTGCGCGCGTATAGGTCTGTGTGTGCGCGCGCGCGTATAGGTCTGTGTGTGCGCGCGCGCGTGTGTGCGCGCGTATAGGTCTGTGTGTGCGCGCGCGCGTGTGTGCGCGCGTATAGGTCTGTGTGTGCGCGCGCGCGTGTGTGCGCGCGTATAGGTCTGTGCGCGCGGGTAAATTCTGCGAGGCAATACCGAGGAGTACCGTATGTGGAGTTTTCACACAAGTGGGCGGCATGCGCATGCGCCTGAACCCCAACACAAATCAAGGTAGTTAGCATCGGAAAGGCGAGTCACTCGCTCAGCATCCGTCTGATTGTGTAGCTAGATCGATACGCTTTCGATGTTATATGCTTTTCACGTGCCTGCCTGTGCGTACGTGCTGGCATTGTTTCCCTCTGGAATGTATTTAGCGATAACTAATGCGCTTTCATGCAGGTCAGGTAATCGCGTGAGACTATGAGAATTAGGATGAATGAGAATTAGGTACCGATCATGACTAGTGCTTCACGGGTTAATCACGCTTCCCGGTGCGACAGCGGGTTAAATGCAGGCGGGGCACCAATTGGTTTGCGCATGCAGCTGCTGCGCACCTCAAGTATTAGCATCCTCGGCATGCAGTCGATGTTGGTAATGACGAAATACGCGAGCGTGTTTATTAGTGATAAGTTGATTACTGTAATTACGTTTCTAGCGCATCGTGACATAAAGGTGGTAGTGAGACGCGGGAGTTACATAGCAGAGCCAGCGGTCTCGCTGGTGGTGACACCTAGCGGTTGGTGTGGAGACACTGTGAGCGGTTGGGATACATCAGACAGCGGGGGGATCTCCCCTCTCTCTTTATCTCTCTCTCTCTCTCTCTCTCTCTCTCTTATTCTCTCTTCTTCTCTCTCTCTCTCTCTCTCTTCT